ATGGGGCGGAGGGAGGGGCGGAGGGAGGGGAGGATCTGGGACAGGACCTGCGGTCCCCGCGTTGCTGACACGATGTTTCTCCCTGCACGGGCAACAGCAGCCGTCGATGAGTCCGCAAGATCATGAGACTCGGCCACGGTGAGCTAAACAGAGGGGAGGAAGGGAGGGAGGGGAGGGAGGGAGCGAAGGAGGGACAGGGGGGCATTGGCGTTCAGCAAGGACCTCTCAGTGCGAGAGTATGAGGGTTCCGATGGAAGAGAGAAGTTAATGATTTACACGTCATTTTCTTCCTGATAAGAGTTCCTATCCACATCTTACGATTTAAACGAGTCTCGTCACTTTTAAGTTTGAATATCAATCGACGGTAGCTCAACCCCATTTCTCGAAATCGTCTTCTTTCCCTCTACCCTCATACCTGCGAAAGCGTGCCGCACACATTGCAGACTTGCTCGTCGTCGTAATTGGCCGAATACGAAATGGCACCGCAGACAGAGCAGGCGAAGTCAGCCATAGCACGCAAAGACCCTGGAAAGGAGGGAGGGAAAGCAAAGAGAGGGGGGAGGTTGAAAGCCCACGAGGAGGTGGTCGAGGTCATGATTGAGGTTCAAGAACCTACGATTCCAAGCAAGGACTAAGCATGAAGGCGAGAAGAAAAAACGACGCATCAGTCATATACGAAGGAGAGGCTCTGTTTTAAAAATTGCGCGAAGATGTGGGGACTACCTGCCCTTTACTTGTCTACATGCAGAGCAGCCTATCCAGAAGGTGGGTTTAGGCAGAGTCATCCCAGCACAAAAAACAATCCCGGGATCCGACAACGGTTAGTTTTAAAACGCCCAAAGCATGCCGTGCGGACACGCAGAGTCTTGTCAAAATAGTAAATAACAGAGAGGACAGGGAGGGGAGGAGGTTAACAGGTTGGTGTAGAGTTGCTATTAGGCAAAGCGTGAGTCATTGGACGTCAGACATACAAAAGAGTTCATGAGATCGCCGATGAATAACATAATTCTTGGCAAAAGCATGGTGAATTATCGGCATGATGCAAGAAATGGTCTCTGTGCACGAGCAAACTGGAATAAAAAGCGCCCTGAAAACGTCCGGAGCTAGAAAGAATGCAATATGACCCAAAGTGAAGGCATTAAGCTCAGAGGCTATGCAGAGAACAAAAGCCAAATTTCCCAAGGCGCTCTCAACTACCCATCGACGTGCCTCGTGGCTGATTCTGTCCACAGGAACGAAGTTAAAAAAAGGGCTTAAGCGGTCGCACGGGCCGCAGCCTACCGGCCCCCCTCGCCCACACGCTGAGGGCGAAGGCTTCCTTTCGAGTATTGGACCTGGAAATAAGAACACTCGACCCTCGAAGCACCTCCAGTCTCGTCTTTGAGTACATGCGTGGTGAAAATGTAGGAGGTTTGGAAGCTTTCCTTCAGTTTTTCCTTACGGCGTGCTTCTGAAAGTGTCGCATCATTCCAAAACCGAGGACCCGCTCTCTCTTTTGGCGTCGGGGTTCCGAATAAATTAGAAGCATTTTCTTTCCATCTTCTGCGTATTTACTCTCCCCCACGGTATGTAATGGAACGCTCCTGCTATCTTTTGCTCATAGATTATCATGGGGGCGTGCTGGCGCGTACGCTGGCGGTATGCGTGCGATTCAACAAGCGTGTGGTGTGGTACATGTCTCTCGCTTTGTTCCACGGCGCCTGGGGCCTGAAAATCTGTGTTATCCTATATGGTCCGCAAAACCAAGCAAGCGTCCCTAAATAGCCCCCCCCC